TTAACCAAATTTACGAACACTTATTTTTAAATTTAGGTGATAATATTTGCTTACATTTTATACAAACTAAATACAATATAACTTATTAATAATTTAATTAAAAAATATTAGAAAAAATTCAATTCCATACATACACAAAATCAAAATTCCTTTCGGACGGGCAAGTCGATCCCCGCATGTCTAGAAGAAGCATTTGGTGTGCGGACACCACGGAAGCATTTGCTCCGCATTTTTTTTATATTAATAATCTACAACAAAATTAGGATTGTTATTATATTTTATCATCACATGGAACAGTAATATGTGAGGGGAATTTATAAATAAACAGTGATCCCAGATTACTTAATGCGTAAGAAATACAACAAGCCTTCTGTGAGAAATTTTATTTAACTCCCCGTGCATCACGGAGAGTACTAAACTCTCCGCGGTGCATGCACGGAATTCAGGAATTTTTTTTTTACATTTAAAATTAAAAAAAAGATATTTCCTTTGTAATTAATATAATCACTTTTTTGTCTTTTCCCAGTCAACAATGGAAGGTAAGGAAGAAGTCTATATTACCTTTTTGTTTTTGATAAAATGAGGATGAATGTTTCACAAATGAATAGTAAATGATGGAGATAGAATGGAAAAAAATATTAATTATTGGGGATAAAATGGGACGACAAAATGCTTCAGAAATAAATAGTAAATTGCGTATTCGCTCTTTTAATATAGTAGGGATTTAAATTTAGTTTTTCCATTGAAATCTACGGTAACAAATTCAATTTTCTCTGATCCTTTTGGTATGTGCACGTGAATTACAAGGTGACCGTGTACATAGATGAAAGGGAATTTGAATTTTAAATTCAAATAATTCTTGTTATAGAATTTTTATTATGCGTTAACTTATTTTTAAATTTAGAGTACATTCAATTCAATCTCAATCATATTTCTTTATTGGTTTTAATCAAAAAAGAATAAAAGGATATCAGTAACATATTCCGTTTATTTGGAATGTGAATAATGTGTAGTATTTTTTTGAATTGTGTATGTATAGAGTCATCAATATTTGAAATTTATAATCCAAACAAATTCTCCAATATAATAATCTTATGTGGCCTTATTTTTCATTCATTTCATTTTAAGTCAAAAGAAAACATAAACCTCACACACTCACTTTCAAACTCTGTTTAGAATTATATAAGCATGGAGTGCAACCTATATTTTTAATTCTGCAACAAACTTCTTGATCTAATGAAGGTAGGATACTATGTGCAAGTTGAATTATCCTTGCAATATTATATATTTTACGTAACTTATGCATAAAATGCTAATTGACCTACGGGTCATTAATGAAATGAGATGTAAAATTTCCTCTTGAATTTTCTCAAATGTTTGAACAAAAATGTGTTAGAGCAATGAATTGATTGCTCTTGCCTCTGCCCATCAATTGCCCCTCACCACCCACCACAGACCAACCCACCACTGCCAACCAATAAAAGGCATGTGCATCTGATAATAAATATAACATGTGTCCGTGTGGACTTGTCATGTTTAATT